GTCAAAGTTGGATGCTCCTCGGAGGGTTGGTGCAGACATGATGAGCTCAATTGTCTCTTTCTACGCTGTAGGGATTCTACGATGGAGGTTAAAATTAAATAATCAATACAGAGCACTATTTTAATACTTGGTAGATTCAAAGTATTCAATTGATGTTTAGCCATGACACCTGCCTCCTGCAGAAATCCCCTTTTTGGTCAAAAGTCCACCTCACTCCTCATACAACTCTTATTGTTTACGTGCCTATAGAAAATTTTGGGATTATTTTTGTCCGTGATTTTTTTTGGATGAGTACGCCATTTTTGTTGCACATCCCCAATTGTTCTCAAGCCGAGTGGCTCATGAGGGTGGAAGAGTCAAGCACATTTCTGTGGGTCTGGAATCACCTGGTCACCAGATCAGCTAAGGACGGCAGATTTCATTCCCTAAAAGGACATTAGTGAAACAGATGGGCTTTTACTGCAATTGATTACAGCTGTCATGGGCCACCATTTATTCCAGATTGACTGGAATTTAAATTTCACACAGCTGGCATGGTAGAATTTGAACACCTGTCCCAGAACATTAGCTTGGGTCTCTAGATTGCTAGTGCAATTACATTGCAACTAAATAGAGATGATGCTCTGTTGGTATTGTTTTAATTAAATTTAGCTTATTGCTCCCACACAATGTACAAAATAGAATACATTTTAGAAAAATGAACTACAAAATCACAATGCACAGGTGTTATTGCTCCCAAGTGTGTAGACTGTATATAAGACATAAAAAAAGTCATGATCTCTAAATTTGAAGTTAATACTGAAAAAAGGCTTACTCTTACATGGCACGCAACTTGGCAAAAATGATTAATTAACCAAGATGTTAGCTACATTGATGAGTACCAGCACTGTTCATGAGCTCAATTGTTTTAAAGCAGATGTTTACAGGGATCCTCCTAAAACCGTCCTTCTTTAGAAATTCCTTTAGATTTGAGATTTACTGAGGTTGAAAATTAATCTCTCAATGCTGTAGACATTGACAAATTTATTTTCCTGATTACTTGTCTTAACTTGTTAGTTATGTTAAAGTACGAATGAAAGAATACTATATTAGCCAGTATAGTATTAAAACCGCGTAAGTGCAGTCAATTGTGCTAAACATTTTTCTTTCCAAAAGGATTAACCGTTATGAAACTATGTCAAAAAAACAGCACTCATGATGCCAAGTATGCAGACACATTAATTCCCTTTACCAGGACATCGTTACAAAACCAGCACTTGAGGACAAATATTTTGGACCACTGCATTCTGTGAACAGTAATGTTTCAAAGGCTGTACAGTACAATGAATACAATATTTCTTGGAACACTGCATTCAGCTGTTACTAAGAGGGATAAATAACAGCTACTATAATCAATCATTATTTGAAATCTAAATCAGGAAATCCCCATCCTTTTCTTTTACTATTAAATACAATGCAAGTATATACCATGTAGATAACTCACTAAACTGTATGAGAAGAAGGGTGGACTTTAAAAGGCTGACAGTCAACACATACTATGATAACCAATGCACTTCAACATTTGAAAATTAGAGGCATTAGTAACTAAGTATTTTAAATATAAAAAAACTGACAGCTGGATAGGATTACAAGGAAGTCATACATTCTACAAACAGGCGTACTTCCATATGCTACAAACAGTAAGTTTTAAGCCAGTATTGTTACTTCAGAATAAAATGGAGGCATGAAGTGGGTCATATGGCCTGTTTTGAATTCCACCCAACAAGAAGTTTGGCTGAGTTGATTTTTAACAGTCAAATAGACTGGGCCAGGGTGGTTTTACTGAGACAGCATGAGACCTGCAAAGAATGATCAAAGTAGCTATGCCGACAGTGGATAACTGTTAGTTTCCAAATCATCTAGGTACTCGGAATGTCACTTTAAAATGATTACACTTTAAACTGTCTACGTAATACCAAGGTAGACTGGACTTGGGGATCTACAGAATAGCTAATTAGCACTTCTACCTACATACAAATCCATTTGATTTCTTCAAAACTATTGTCTGTCATGCTTTTGTATAATTAGCTCCCTAGTGTATTCATCATAGCAACATATCAATCAATCAAAGCCAACTTTCCAACAAGCAACACCTTCTTCTCATGCAGTGAAAGTTGTAACTCCTTTTGAAATTTGACATTCTTATGTCTGTAAAATCTTGGAATTTAGCACTGTTTTAATATTTTTGAGTAGAATAGATTTATTCTAATAGAAATGGATAAGCCAGTTTAGTATTAACGTACAGCAGAGCACAGAAAGGAATGTAGTGCAGGAGAAAGAACAATGAGAGCAGACTGTATGTGAACTTTCATGGCTTCATCAAGGATGGTTTATTGAGCTGTGAATCTAAAGTGGCCATCTCAAATATGGAACCTCTCCTTTAGTTGCACTTGTTACTACACAACAGAATGGAAGCTGATCTAATGTTGCTCGTATAAAGGTCTAAAGAGTCAATGGCCAATTCCCAACATCTCGAACATATCTGTTATGCAACAAGCACAATTCTGTTAACTACTTTATATTGACTAATGGACCTCATCATCGGATTTGTGCCCATGCATTAAACTCTTATGACGTGAAGTTAAACTTAGACCACAATGAAATGAACCCAAGGTATTTCCATCCAAATAATAACAAAAAAGTGCCATGATTTTAAAAATCTATTAACAGTGACAATGCTAAAGTAAAAGCACTTAGCAACAAAGTAGATATACAAATGTAGGCTGTTCTAAATTAAAGAATTCAAAAATAAGTTCTCTTTCCAGAGGAAAATTTCATTGATCTTAATTACAAAATTTTAGCAGGTCTCAAAATTTATGGAAGGTCCCTGAAAAATTTGAACCCAAATGTAATCTAAATGCCTGTAACAAGTATGGTACTAGTCAAACAAGCAACTGACCACAAATTAATCTAGCCAGACAATTGGTACGATGTTGAACGCTACAAAGTTACCAAGGTACTAAAGGGAAAAACTGCCCCCCGCTGGTCTTGAACTTGTTATTGCACATCTCATGTCAAGTTAACATAACAATATCAGCTAAATTAAGGAGTGTGCAACCTGTACAAAACATATGAACAAAACTGACAAAAGTAGCTGTTTATTGGCAGCGAAAATATACCAACCTTCTGGACTGTTACAGATCATAACCTCTGCTCATTATACTTTCCCCCAGATAGGCAGGTGCTGGGGATAATTCTCTTACCATTTACACTTCCTTCAAACCCATCTTGTGTTTATTTACTAATCCCATTTCAGGATCAAATCGTATTCACCACCATTCATAGCCTACCTGCCCAGCCCGTCAATTATCATCCTATAGTTTAAGGACTCCCTCCTTGCTATTTATTACACTACCAACTTTTGTGTTATACATATTTCCTACATTCATGCCTAAATCGTTGATGTACATTACAAACAGCAGGTGACCCAACTCTGAATCCTATGGTCTACCACTGGACACAGGCTTCCACACAAAAACACCCTTTGATCATCACTCAGTTTCCTGCCACGAAGCCAATTTTGGATCCAATCTGCCAAATTGCCCTGGTTATGCAATTTATTTTTCATTGCCAGTTGCAGCATCAATGCGTTATGTTCTATATAGAACTGCATATTAAATTTTATTAAGATTGGCTTTTTAGCAAGGGTGATGCTGAATATTTAATTCATCCACCAAGTAGGAAGACGATCAAAGCTACAAAGTACCTTGTATTTGAATTGCATTTGAATTAAAATAACAAAACATCCAAAGATGCCTCTTAGGAAAACCGTAAAACAACGGGAACATGCCTGGCTCATAAAATTGAGCCTGGCGGGGAGTGGCTCTTCAGTGATAGACGATTGGTCAACCCTTCCCCCCTCTCACCTCAATTCTGGCTTGTGCACCCCCAAATATAACCACTCCAACACTGGTGATTGTCCTCGGCTGAAAACTCGAACATCCGCTCCAAACTCATGTCTCCTTTTGTCTGCCTCTCTTTCATCCTTTTTCAGCACTAAAGCCTCTCCTCTTTGACCAAGCTTTTTGTACACCATTCCCACCCATTAAGCCTTCCCAACACCCTCTGCAACATTTCATTCCTTCCTGCCTTGAGATCCCACAAAATTACCTGGTCTTGAACTCTAAGACTTACAATTTGGGGCATGTTTATACTTCCAATCCCAGAAAGCCTTAAAGTACAGAACATAATACCACAAAACCCTACAACATACATCAGAAACTGAGCAGTATTAGCTATTCAGTGGTGTGCTTGAAAAGTTATTCATAATTTCCTGTGTGCTGTAGAGCTAATCAAAAGGTGATTTTGCTGAATGCACCTGCTGCATTTTTCACTAAATATATTAAAACGCAGAGTACATTAAGCCTTACAATTTTAGTCCACACATTTGGAATGGCATGAATAAACAAGTTTGAGTTTAGACAGACTGCAGCTATAATTTCATGAATCCTGATTTTTCTTCTGCACAGCAAATCAGCTGGTAATAACTCTTAATGAGGGAAAATGGACAATGATAACAGGAATTATTGATACTATTCAACCGTTAATTTTCATTGTAATGGCATCTTGAACCTGTCAACTAATTGGACCTTTAGTGCCTGGATAAAATAAATATCCCAAACTACTTTGTGCCAACTCACAAATTATGAACATTTTTTAAAAATTGCTTCTTTTGAGATTTAGCATGATTGTACCCTCTGTGTGCTTCTCAGACAGTTCTCACATTATGGCATGGACACATGAATCCCCCAAACCAGCAGATATGATTCATTTTACAATTTCAAATTAATGCAATTATTGCCCTGAAACAGCCCAATGTTCTATTTGTCCATTAAAACTAAGTCTGGCAATTATACAATAATCACAGACTACTGCTCAAAATTGCTTAACTGGAAATATGAACAATGTTATCAAATTGAGCGCCAAACTAGAGAGGAAAGAAACAGGAAATCCAGACAGAGTAAGGCTAACATCAAGTTTATTGTTAAGATTTCCATTTAAGGCAACATAGATAGGGTAACAGAAAAGTTAGTGTGTTCAAAGGGACTCTGTCATCTTTTCAGAATTAATTACATTCTCCAAGTAAATTAAAATCTGAACGCAAACTTAAACTGCAAATTAGGTGTACCTTACATTGTAGATTAGCAGTTATTCACAAAATGCAAGTGTCAACATATTCTTTAATGAATTATTCTTTTACTTAAAAAGTAATATTTGTATAGTCTTGAGAATTAGTGTTTCCAGACTCTCGAAAATCTAAGTTCCCCTGCCCACATCCATTTGTTTTTCCATAGAGCGGATAGCTCAACAGTATTAGAATATTAAAGAGCTATTAAAAAAAATTAATTTATTGTGGTGTTAAAAAGTCTGTTGCCAAGTGCACTTAATACAAGTGTCCCAAGTACATCTGATTAGAGTCCTTAATGTTTGATTTTGAAAGTAGATGGAATTGTTGGTAATTTTAATCTTCAACATTTCCAATATCAAGGTGTTAGAGAAAGGGATTGTGCTGTGAGTACTGTACAAGGGAAGCTGTTGCTACAACTCTCATTGGCCCAATTCGGGCTGAAACTGATTTAAATTTTTGCATAAGTGTGTTCCAGAAATGCAACATATTTATGTCAAACATTGAATAGTAAACTTTTGACATTTAGAAAGTTGTCCTAATGTGCAATATAGTTCAGACAACCAAATCAAATCTATAATAGATTAAGTTTTAAAAAACTCAATTGACGTTGTAAAATTACAAATCCATTCCTCAATGACGTCAAAGCATCCATACAGTTAGAACGAATTGTGTTCCCACATGTTTCGATGGCAAGGGTGAAACATATCTTCAAGAAGCACAAGGATGTCACGTGCATCGAAATAGAAAGATTCCAATAACCTTATGTTAAAAAGATTAATTTCCATTATCTTAAATTATTCAAGAAACGAATAATATTGTAATTGAAGATTGTTAATTTAAATTCATTGTTCGTAAACTACCTTAAAATCGAAGCATATGATCCTGGATTCTAAAACAATAAATCATAATTTTGATAGTTTAAATATAAAATGGAATTGGACAGGCCTATCAAGCCACAAAGTAATTTTGCATTGTACCATTTCTCTAAAAAAAATGAAAACTGTAAACAATGTGACACAGCAAATAAGAATGTAAGGGTGGGATTTAATGGAGTCTGTAAGAACAGGAAAGATGTTGGGTGTAGGGATTTAATTAGGTGGGAGCAGAAAACTCAGTTTTAAAATTGAGCTGAGTTTGAAAAGATAAAGTGGAAGTCAAGTCAGTAGAGTGGCTGACATTCTGCAGGGTGGCAGGGACCCTTTACCATGCATTGGCAATATCTTGATCACCCATTAATTGAAATGCACAACAAATTCAGTGATACCTCCAAGATTAAGGCAGTGACACACAGGAAACTCATGCTTCCGATTTCCCTGATAGTTCAAAGATAGCACAAACTAGATGAGGTTGTTCAATTTCAAATATTGCCTCAGTTGGACTGGCAAGAGGATGGGCATTATGCCAGGATCCTGAAGAAAGTTGGGGGAACGGGTGCATGGGCAGAGGTAAGATGGTGTCTGAAAATTGCCAGGCTCCTGCCAAGAGTGCAGTATGCTGCAGCTTTCTTATCTTCTAAGGAAGGTAGCTGCATCTCACATGACAGGTCAACAGTCAAGGAAGGGCCTTGGCTTTGATGCAGAGCAGGTCAAGCTCCAGGGCAGTGCTCGTATCCATTGACGTGGTTACTAAGAAAATGCTACCTTGCTGGAGATAGGGTTTGGCTGGGAAATTTTTCACCTCACAGGAAATCAGCTTGCTTTGGGAGGGGGCCACCGGGAAATAAGAGAGGTAGTTCTGGATGAAAAGGGCTACACTGTCTGATTCAGCAATAGCAGAATGAGGTCACATAAATAGACATGCTGCTTTCATTGCTTGCCTTCTTCACTTTATGGATCTAGAATGGGTGGAACAAATAGTTTTACAACTTTGAGCACTCGAGAAGGATTCGCTAGAGCAGGGTCTTGGTCACAGAGTAAGATCAACCTCGTCATCAGCTGGCACCAGATGACGGAAAGTGAGAACAGGAGGAAACAAACCTGTGCTGTCTTCATTGTTAAAAGAGTACTAATGCATCGATATACGTTCAGAATGCACATCAACAACCTACAAATTTCTGAGAGGCACTGTTAGAAATAGCCAAAGTTTTCTCAACAGATAGTTACTAAATTGTGTGGGCTCCACATTAGGAGCTGCATGCCTAAACTTCTATGTCGATGGCTCATTTCTGGGTTGCACAGCGATATGTGGCATTTTGCATGCTGCAACACGAGTGCATATGGGACATAATAAATGCCCTGTTCAGAAGGGCCAACGAATTCAGACTTCTAATTGATGCTGAAAGCCAGGCCAGAGGAATGTTAGGCTTTAGGGCTATCACACAGCCCTATCAAGTGAATTGACTGCACACGTTTTCATGGGTCCTTTCATTTCTAAGTCTGAAGCAGTTTCACTTCCTTGAGCTTTCAAAATTGTAAGGACTACCAAATTAATATACAATTGTGTCCTCACTTCTCAGGAGCTACCATGAAGCATGCATCTTAGGGAATTCGCAGCTGCCCAGATTTTGAGGCCTGCCTCACAATGGGTGAGAAAGGCTATGCCCTTAGAATGTGGGGTTTGCATCAATCTCCCCCCCCAAGCCCTTCAGAGATGCATTGCAACACTATATTCTGCTCAACAAATACAAACATTGAGCACACAATCCAATTGCTCAAAATGTACCTCAATGCCTTGACTGGCTTGGCAGAACTGACGTGTGCCACCGACAGTGTCAGGGATTGTTGTCTGTTGTGTCTTGCATAATATGGCACTGCAAAGGAAAAAACTGCCAATCAAGGACACAGCAGCTGTGAAACACCTCAGATGAGAATGGTCAAGAGAAGTATGAGGTGGTCACATATCTTGCTGCAGCTCTTGTAGTTCCTGTTGGCTCTGGCATCTATTTAGTGTTCAATCATTTTGACAATTCATGAAAATGGAATGCACTGCTCTACTCCCTGCCCCAAGAATACCAGCTTTGCTTTGATACTCAAGTCAAAGCAGGCTTCATGAACACTCTGTCTGCTTGTTACCACATTGTCAGGGCCATATTTCAATTAGCAGCACATCAATCTTGCACTTAGCAGAGACCTCAGCTAATCCACTTGACAAGGTATTTTAAGGACAGGCCAGCAGATGGTGCATGTGCTGTCATGTCATATTTCCTTGTGTACGTCCTGCTTTGTATTCTCATGAACATCCAATAAAGACTAACAACTAATACATGGGCACATTGTTGCCCACACAGGTGAGATGTCACTCAGTTTGTTTTTAGCAGTAAGGAATGCCAAACATGAAGTGTGACAGTACAATTCCAACAAATACACAATGCACATAGTAGCAATGATGTCAATAAACAAGGTATACTGTAATATCGACATATGTATCTCATAAGAGTCTCAACACCCATGCCACCATTGTGCCTTCAGTGCACAAATTTTCTTTAATGACCAGTAGGCCATTTTGGGACCAAGATCAACAGGTGATGAGGAGACCAGTTGCTGAGTGCCATTCCCTACTGTGTGATTACACATGGAATAATAATTTGAAATACAAGGTTTCAACTTCATTACAGTTCAGCCCAACCTGTTTTTCAGGAGTTAACTGCAACATGAATGAATAATTGATTTAAATAACATCTTCCCATATCCCAGAACCTCATTTTCTCCACATGGCCATCCAAATGAATTGTTATTGTTAATAATTTCCACTTAACAGACCGGATCATATAAATTCCAAGCGGAATAGAACAACATCACTTCATCCGAGGCCGCACTGATGTGTTAACTAGCGTGATGACGAAACGTCTGTACGATAAGCAAGACATCTGGATATAAATTGTCCCATTGGGAACACCCAGCATGGGTTCATGAAGGGTAGGTCATGTTTAACTAATCTGGTGGAATTCTTTGAGGACATTACTTGCATGGTGGACAGTGGGGAACTTGTGGATATGGTGTATCTGGATTTCCAGAAGGCATTTGACAAGGTGCCACACCAAAGGCTGCTACATAAGATAAAGTTGCACGGTATTACAGGTAATGTATTGGCATGGATAGAGGATTGCATGACCAGTAGAAAGAGTAGGGGTAAATGGGTGTTTTTCTGGTTGGCGGTCAGTGGCTAGTGGTTTGCCTCAGGGATCAGTGTTGGGACCGCAATTGTTTACAATTTACATAGATGATTTGGAGTTGGGGACTAAGTGTGGTGTGTCAAAATTTGCAGATGACACTAAGGTGAGTGGTAGAGCAAAGTGTGCAGAAGACACTGAAAGTCTGCAGAGGGATAGAGATCATCTAAGTGAGTGGGCAAAGGTCTAGCAGATGGAGTACAATGTTGATAAGTGTGAGGTCATCCATTTTGGTAGGAATAACAGCAAAATGGACTATGTTTTAAATGGTAAAAAATTACAGCACGCTGCTATACAGAGGGACTTGGGTGTCCTTGTGCATGAATCGCTGAAGGTGGGATTGCAGGTGCAGCAGGTAATTAAAAAGGCAAATGGAATTTTGCCTGCCATTGCTCGAGCGATGGAGTTTAAAAACAGGGAGGCTATGCTGCAGCTGTATAGGGTCCTGGTGAGGCCACACCTGGAGTACTGTGTGCAGTTTTGGTCTCCTTACTTGAGAAGAGATATACTTGCACTGAAGGGGGTGCAGAGGAGATTCATTCAGTTGATTCCAGAGTTGAGAGGGTTGGATTATGAGGACAGACTGAGTAGACTGGGATTATACTCATTGGAATTCAGAAGAATGAGGGGAGATCTTATAGAAACATATAAGATTATGAAGGGAATAGATAAAGTGGAGGCAGGGAGGTTGTTTCCGCTAGCAGGTGAAACCAGGGCTAGAGGGCATTGCCTCAAAATAAAGGGAATCAGATGTAGGACTGAGGTCAGGAGGAACTTCTTCACCCAAAGGGTTGTGAATCTGTGGAATTCCCTGCCCAGTGAAGCGGTTGAAGCTACCTCGCTGAATGTGTTTAAGACAAGGCTAGATAAATTTTTGAACAGTAAAGGAATTAAGGGTTATGGTGAGTGGGTGGGTAAGTGGAGCTGAGTCTCAAAAAGATCAACCACGATCTTATTAAATGGCGCAGCAGGCTCGAGGGGCCAGATGGCCTACTCCTGCTCCTAGTTCTGATGTTCTTATAACCAGCCAGCTTGGCGAGCAAGTCAACAACCTGGCCTAACCAATGTTGATATTCCACTCGAAAACAAATTAAGAACTCAATAATTAAAAGAGATGCCAGGCCGGGCATGATGTGGGAGCTGGTGAACTCCACTGTACTTCACACTGACCACTTCTCGTGTTGGTTTCTTGAGGAAGAATGCAATGGGGGCGGGGGTAGTTTCCTGGACGCTGTGTTTTAGGAGGCAGTCACACCTCTCACACCCCTTAGATTAACTAAGACTAACAAATTCGGTAGGTGCCAGGGATGTGACTATGAGCAAGGTAGGTTGAAGAATACAGGATGTAGCGTTGAAGGAGCCTCAGCCCTTGAGCTTGGTCTAACAGGTTTGAGATTCTTGCTCCCTCCATGGATGAGAGTGAAGGCTATTGGGAGGATTACCAAACTGACCGAAGCACCACGATCATTCAAGAGGTGACAGAAATGAAAATTATAGTTGTAATTGGGCATAGCATCGTCAGGAGAATAGACACTGTTCTATGGCCAGGATCAAGAGTCCCAAAGGATGTGTTGCTTGCCTGGTGCACAGGTGCAGGCTCTCATCTGGGCTTCAGACAAACTTGGAGTGGGAGGAGAAAGATCCAGTTTTCATGGTCTGGTGCATGGTGGGAAGGGGTGGAGGGGTTCAGCTGCATAGAAAATGATGGAAAAGTTAAGGGAAGGTGGGGCTCAGAGGTTATTAAAGTTTCCACAAATAATGGGACAGAGTTTGGAAAGGACCAGGAATCTAACTTCAGGCACAGCAGACAAGGGAATAGCTATGATTAGAGGTCAGAAATCACATGACATCAGACTATAACCTGGTGTAATTTGATTTCTGTTCTTGTCCACCCCAGTCCAACACCAGCACCTCCACATCATGATAAGGAGGGCAGTCAACATAAGACTGAGAGTATTGTAATGAAATATAAGCATTACAGGAAATGAGCTTATATTACAGATTGAAGTTGACAGGTATGATGTGGGTATCATAGATGTGGCTTTAAGGGATCAAAGCTGGGCACTGAATATCCAAGGATACACATCCTATTGAAAGGGCAGGCAGGTGGGCAGAGAGGACGGAATTATCTTGTTAGTAGGTAGAAAAATTAAAAATTATAGGCAGAAGTGAAATAGGATCAGAAGACATAGAATCTGTGTGGGTAGAGTTGATGAACAGTAAAGGGAAAAAAAAAGACCCTGATGGGAACTGTGTACACATATCCTAGCAGTTGTCACGATGTGGTGAAGAAAATAAATCCGGCTTTTAAGAAAGGCACTATTACAATAATCAATCAGGGGTCTTCAATACACAAGTGGACTGAGAAAATCAGGTTGGGAGCAGATCTTAAGAAAAATTTGTGGAATGTCTACAGCGTGATTTTTTTGGAGCAGCTTGAGGTAGAGCCAACTCAGAAACAGGCAATGCTGGATTTGGTAATATGTAATGAGACAGACTTGATTAGTAAGCTTAAGGTGAAGGATACCTGACTCTGACCCTCCCAGGGGGAAAGTGGCCATAATATGATAGAATTCACCCTGCAGTTTGAGAGGGAGAAGCTCGCATCAGAAGTTATGGTGTTACAATTGAGTAAAGGTAACTACAAAGATGAAGGAGGAGCTGGCCACAGTTGCTTGCAAGGGGAGCCTAGCAGGGAAGATGGTGGAGCAGCATTGGCAGAAGACTCTGGGACTGTTTAGGAGGCACAGCAGGAACTAATTCCAAAAAGCAGCAGCACACCAAGGGGAGGATGAGGTAACCATGGCTGACAAGGGAAGACAGGACCAGCATAAAAGTAAAAGAAAAAGAAAAAGCAAAAGCATACAATGTGATGAAGATTAGTGGGAAGTCTTTAAAAACCAGAGGGCAACATTTTAAAATAAAAGGAAGGGAGAAGAAAAATGAAATATTAGAGTAAACTAGCTAGTAATACACAAGGTTCTAAGGGTTTTTTTTGGATATATAAAAGATGAAGGGGAGACGAGTAGACATTGGATTGCTGGAAAATGAGGCTGGAGAAGTAGTAATGGGGAAAAGTGATGGAGGAACTGTTTTGGTCCTTTGCGTCAGTTTTCACAGTGGAAGATACCAGCAACATTCCAGAACTTCACGTAAGGGGGCAGAAGTGAATGTAGGCAATCATTAAGGAGAAGGTGCTCTGGAAGCAGAAAGTTCTAAAGATGGATAAATCACCTAGACCAGATGGACTGGTCATATATGGTTATATATGATGTAAACCATAGTTCTGAAGGAGATAGCAGCGATTATAAAAGCAATGATGTGGATGTCTTAAGGAATCACTGGAGTCAGAGAGGGTCCCACAGGAGCGGAACACAGCTAATGTAACACCCTTATGTAGGGAAACCATAGACCAGTTAGCCTGACATTGGTCATTGGAAAGATTTTACAGACCATTACTAAAGATGAGATTACACAGTACTTGGAAGTGCATCGTAAAACAGGGTTGAGTCAGCATAGCTTCAAAGGGAGGTCCTGCTTGACAAATCTGTTCCAATTCTTTGGAGCAGAGGCTGAGGGGTGATCTTCTAGAGGTTTATAAGATCTTGAGGGGCATGGATAGGGTGAATAGCGGAGGTCTTTT